CTCATGTATCAGAAAAATGAAATAAAATCTGCTGAAGCCCACTTTCGGCTACTGCTGGCTCGAAACCCAGGTAGGTCGAATGATCTTAACTGAGTGTTTATGAAAAATGCTGCCATGAACCACGCATCATGCTGGCGTTTAGAGAAATTCAGAAATGAATGCTTAGTGCATGAATAATGGAGTATGAGCGGAAAGTGATCAGTGACGAATTCCAGCAACGTCGTTCTGACAAGTACAGGTGGATTCCTGGAATTTAGTTTAATCCTTAGAATCACAACGAACGTGTATGCGGATTGTCCTACTTCTGAAACCAATTATGAAACCAATCCAATGTTTGGATAATAGAAGTGGAAGAAAATTGTATGCACACCAGTTATCACTAGTACGTATGATATGCTAGAATAAGAATTGTTGTCCTTCTGTAGAGCTGAGTCTGTCACACAGGACAACGGAATGAATCAAAACACAGTAGACCCACGTGGTTGACTGCTACACGATGATTATAATTCTGCGAACGGCCATTTAAAACACCATGTTGTCACTTATGAACCATAATGTCTGTGAAGATGAAAGATTTTAATCGACGTGTCGGCTTATACCTCACACACCTTCATCAAGTATGCCTGACCGTCGTGGTTCTTCATGACCGCCGGTCGCAACGGTCATTGGGTTAAGCGCAGGAAAATTTGTGCGAGTTGCATGCCAAAACTTTTGTTGGGATTTCATAATGTTAATAATGTCAAGCATACTGTGTTCGTGGGTCTTCATTCAGTTTCATGATTAAACCATTTTGAAACCTTTCATTTCTGAAATTTATGGTGCGGCGCTGGTCACCATTTCTATGCCAATAGCCAGGAGAGTTTATTTGTTTCGGTTAGAGTCTACAGCCATGTGGAAAGCGTAGCGTGTAATTTCATGTTTCCTTACCACAGCGTGGTATTCATTTCACGGAATGACGAAGGACGAGTGACCAAGTGTGCTGCGTGATGCTTGGTGAAGCATTAACGAATGTACTAAAATCCACCATATTTTAAGTAAATAAATTCCGACAGTAATTTTTTGCCCAATTTCAAAAGTTCGATTTATTTTCAGCTCAATATCATGCTCTTGCCAGAACCATTGAACTATCTTGGCGATCAGGGAACTTAGAAGAAGGTAAAAAGTTTTACAAGTCGTATGAAACACTGTTTTACTACTTATGCAAAAGTTTTCATTCATCATATGCTCAAAAACTTTTATGCGTGCAATCGTCATGAACGTTTAAAGTGACCATCGACTTGATTGCATTTTCCGTAATGTTTCTGGTTCGTAGTTTTCGTAATTCGTGCATTTTCCGCTAAGCAGCATCTTTGCCCTGAAAGCTAACATCTATATGCTATAGGCTCGCCCCACAGAAGCATCTTGGAAAGAACAATTCAACAACTCTTGTCAGAAAAAAATCACTTCCGTTGTTTCCTGGCACCATGGTAGATGCCTTTCGAATAAATTGAATTCTTAAGCTTACTATTTATACTTCATGCTGATTTTCCGTCACCATCAGTGGGCCCCTACGAATTGCAACCGTTAGGTGGCCTATAAGATAGCGTGACTGGGCACTAAAGTGACAATGCCAGTAGGTCACGCTGACTTTGTTGTTTGCAGGCCATGGACTGTTAACTGGCTCTTAC